TTCAGACGGCGTCGGATTCGCAGCATGTTTCCGGACAGCATCGTGCGGGGGCATTACTATCTTCAGCTAGCATTTTTACTGCTGAACTGTATGCCATTCTTGCAGCACTTATTCGTATCACATCTATGCCTGTGTCATCATTTGTAGTCGTCTCAGACTCCCTTAGTGCTCTACAGGCTATACGAAAATTTGATACATCTCATCCCCTAGTTCTCCGTATCCAACTTTGGCTACGCCGTATCTCTACCAAACAAAGATATTGTTTTTTGTTGGGTCCCTGGTCATGTCGACATACAGGGCAATGAACAGGCAGACACTGCTGCGCGGTCAGCAGTACATGACCTACCAATTTCCTATCGAGGTGTTCCATTTCTGGACTATTTTGCTGCAATAGCTACCCACCTTCGCACCCGTTGGCAACAACGTTGGTCAACTCTGCTCGGTAACAAACTTCATTCTATTAAACCGAGCATAGGTTACTGGCCGTCTTCTTGTCATCAGTGCCGAGGTTGGGAGACCACTCTCTCCCACCTTCGCATTGGCCACACTCGTCTTACTCACTGGTATCTCATGGAGAGGCACCCTGTTCCCCTCTGTGAGCAGTGTCAAGTTCCAGTATCGATTAGCCACATTCTGTTAGACTGCCCTCTCTATCAACGAGCACGCAGAATTTACCTCCAACGTCGTCTTCGTTCTACTACTCTCTCTTTACCTTCCCTTCTTGCTGATGGACCCTCCTTTAATCCTGACTCTCTCATTGACTTCTTGACAACGACTGATTTACTCCACAACCTCTGATGATACTTTTCGCACTCCCCTCAACCCTTTCTAGTTCAGTCTCTTGCTGCCCTTTACCCTTTCACCATCCACTACCCCGCTGTCATCCGTAACCTATTACTCATCCATCTCCCTTTTGCCACCTGATGCCCTCGCTTCCTTCCTGCCCTGCAGCGCTGTATAGTCCTTGTGGCTTAGCACTTCTTTTTGATTATAATAATAATAATAATTTAAATTAGCATGAAATCTGCTGTCTCAAAGAGGCAGAAGGCCTCCCATATGCTATGGCAGTCTCATCTATGCCTCCAAGGTTGACTTACCTTTATTTCTTATTCTCAAGTTACTAAACATCCCCCAACTTCCGCAGCCTCCTCTGTGGTCACCGCTTCCACAGTCACCCCCCCCCCATCTCTAATTCTTTTGTTGTCCTGGACTCAGAGGTCCCTACCTCGGCACCTTATTCTGTTCTCACCTCTTCCTCTTCTCACTTGCACGTTTGTGTGTCTAGAAGACCTCGTACAACACCTACTCCCCATCGCCCCTCTCCTTCTCTGAAGTCCAAAACATTCCCATTGTTAAAATCTCCTCTAACCCCTCCTTCCCTTCTACAATCTGCACATTTTTCCTTCCCAGTCTCTGTACCCGGTTCTTTACCGCTAAGTGGCTCTTTTACGAGTGTGGAGGTTCATCCTCCTCGTACAGTACCTTCCTGTCCCCTCCCAAGTTTCCTCTTCTGCCCCCTCCCAGGTCGCCTCCTCTCCTTTCCCCTCCCAAGCTTCTTCCCCAGTTCCTCTTATCCTTTCATCCCCCCCTATGTCACCCCGATCTTTACTCACCCTCCTCCTTCCATCTCCAATATTGTACCACATACGTCCTTGTCCTCTGAAACACTTGAAGCTATCTCAGGATATACTGAGGAGACTAGACCATTGATACACACTGATCTACCTCCTGTTCCTCCTCTTCATTCTTCTCCATCTGCACAACTCCTTTCTTCACAATGTACCAATCCTTTGCTGCTTAAAGTTTTCCACTGCCTCCACATATGAACTTTCCTAACCCTACTAGTCCGTAGATAGCTCTACCTTCAGATTTCTTGTATCTTTCTCTTCACAAATCATGGCTTATTTACATCTGTGGCCTCAAAGGTAACCAGGGTGAGCTTCCGGTGTTGCTTTCCCAGTTTTCCCTTGTTTATGTTTACAAGAAAACCTAAATTATGCTCCGCTGTTATCCATCCCATCTCGGGCTATGATTTATTATACAGTATTCATCAGATCCTTTTCTGATGGATCCTTTAATGAAAGTGGACTTCTTATACGTGCAGGTATTCCATACTGTCAGCTCTTCGTTCATACTTCGCTGCAGTACACTGCAACCCGTATCCACTTGAACAAGTGGTATACAATCTGTTGTTTGTATCTCTCTCCTTGGGCATTATCTATCCCAGATGTTGCATTTCTGGTTTCTTCCTTAACACCACCACTTCTGTTACTTGGCGATTTCAATGCCCACCATGTTTTAAATACCGGTGCTCCCACCCATTTTGATCTTCATACTCATTCTCTCTTGCATCGATCTCTGTCTGCTCTTTCTCAACTGTACTAGACTTCGCCTGATCTGTTCTCCTGGACTTGCGTGACAGCGATCATTTTTCAATCATCCTTATTTCTCCTTCATATTCACCAGCTCCTCATAGCCCATGCTGGCAATTTGACCGAGCAAACTGAGACCTTTACTCGCATCTAACTGTGGTCAGCCCATCAATCTTGAAAAGATTGATGGACTGACCACATCAACTCAAGGCTGAGGGACTGATTACCTCAAACTCCTCCTGTTCTTCACCATTCTCCTTTGTATGGACTGACGAAGCCACTGTGTGGCAAAACGTTTCCTCAAAGATACCCAAGAGTTGCACATGTGTCTAATTTATCAACGTGTCGGTTCTCTGAATCATTCATCTACAAGATGCCAGGTCCGGCCTGGTTTTGTTTTTAGTTTAAAAACCCTGTCCTGGGCAGTAAGAGGGTACCTACCCACAACAGCCTGGTAAGCAGTCATATCAGAGTTTTCCACTGAACTGTGAATGGTAACTTTAGTGTACTATCATCTACATCAGTTACATACTTGTTTCATGGGAGTTACTCCATTGGAATCACGATCACCATTTCCGGTCCATTTCATGTTAGCTTGCGTCACTTTGATGTTACCAGGTCAAACAGGCTTAATAAGAATATACTGTATCTGTACAGTATTTTGGGTAGAGAAGTCGGCCAATATATCGGTAATCCTCACGCATACATTTTTGTTTTTATGAAGTACTATGCAGAAAACAGTGTGGTTTTGCAAACCATCCTTTTTATTTAACCACCGCAGACAAGCAATACATTTAGGACATGTAACAGCTCTTCAGTATTACATAAAACTAGGATTTTTTTTTTTTTTATGCTGGTCCAATGATTTCAAGGAATGATTTCCATCAGCCACTTCATGGCAAGGAATGATTCTCACCAGCTACTTCATGGCAATCAAGTTAGCCCAAGAGGGCATCTTCCCTACTGTTTTTAGAAACAATTTGAATCTTTTCTTGGGTAACATTTAATGTTTATCATGATCATAATTTAGGAGCCTTGTGGCTTTGTTCAGCATCACTGACTGGTTCAACATAGGAAAACTTTTTCCCAAGCCAATTCCACTGGTCTAGTAGCTAAAGCAACTAGGGATTATTACGGTATTATATTCATGGAGAAATATTTAGCATTTAAGGGTCATACAGCACCAAGGAAAAGAGAGTGAGGGTAATCTGGTTTGATTCAAGGAAGGGGAAGGTACCTATGCTTCAAGAGCCATCACTAATATTAAGGCACCCTCTTGAAAGGGGTTTCCTTGTTAGCCCTTTCAGGGTCCAAGGCCCAAATCTGAAGTGGTGCCCCAGTGTCCAAGAATTTTCAAAAAAAAAATTAGTTATTTTTTCTTATGAAATGGTAGAGAATCTTTTTGTGAAGGTAATAAAACAAAAAGTACAAAATATGATGGAAAATTGACGAAATTATGCTCTCGCGAATTTTGATGTGTCAGTGATATTTACAAATCGGCGATTTTGCCGACTTTGACTCCCATTTTAGGCCAATTATATTATTCCAGTCGACCAAATTCTTAGCTATTTCACTAGTATTACTTCTATTCTATCGACTGAGCACAAGAATTCGCCAAGTCAACTGTTTCAACTACAAATTAAAGATCAGAAATTGTTAATTTGGCCAATTTAACACAAAGTTCAAAATATTCCAATTTCAAAATAGGGTCCAGAATAAACAATGTAGGTATTCCTGGAACTAAACTAACATTTCCTCTGTTCATTAGTTACGTTTTGAGGCTTTACAAATAAATTTAATTTTGATTTTTTATTCACATAATGAATTTTTATTCACACCAAAAATAGAAGATTTACTGTTATGCAATACTGTAATAATTGTATAAATATCATCACCATATTTGTGAATGCATATTAGACCCACCAGCGGGTGTGTATTAGATGTGTGAGGTCGTTTGTTTACTCTTGAATATCGGCAAAAATTTAACATTTCTGCTACTTTGAGCTCAGTTTCAAGCCATTTCCAGTGCTAAAACCAATCAAAAGCATCTCTATTTCTGTAATATGTCTTCCATTCTATCAAATGAGACCAAGAAATCGCAAAAAGAACTATAAAAAACATACGAAAAAACACTGCAAAGTCGCTGTTTTAATTGAAAAATCATGATTTCAGTTTTTTTTCTCTTATTATACACAGTGTGCTGCAGGATCTGTTTTATGTGGTGCACACATACCACATAGATGTATTCTCTCATATCTAGGCCCAAATGTACCACTCACAGTTTATCAGAGTGAGCTGAGCTCATGACGTAGATCTACGGTTTGGACCCTGAACGTAAAGCCGTAGATCTATGGGACGGACCCTGAAAGGGTTAAGCTCTTTCAAAGATGCTTCCATATTTCTATTTTATCATCAAAAAGTCTTACTTTTTGCCAGTTTGTTGATTCTCAACAATTTTCATAGGTACTCTGGTACTTCTACATTTTTTTTATACTTCAAATATTTGACAATACCTGTAGTTTAACATTGTATGGGGAGGAGGGAAAGGTTAATAAGCTACAGACCTGACAAGTACTAATACAGAAATCAACTGACAGTATTTAGTAAACTCAAGAAAATAAAAGATACTTAGTTTTCATAGTATAATTTACATTCTATACACAGCATTTGTACAGTAAACACAATTGTCCATCAGTGTTACACACAACCTGAAAAAAAAAAAATTAGCTATTAGTTTAATGAATGATAATATACTGCACTACATTTACTTTACATAGAAAAGGCACAAATAGTAAAAGAGCCCAGCTTTCTTATCAAAGCAATTTGCTGAGGTTTAACAATCTAGCTACCAGCACCTCTAATTCAGAAAGATTATTTCACCAACCCAAGGCAAACACTAGGATACAGTTATTAGAAAATATTTTGGTCCTGTGGCCTTGATCACTTCTAACATAAAAGGACCAAAAATGACAGCAGGTACAGGTATAATAGTGAGGTGTGAGATATGTAGTAACCTGATGAAAGAAAGCAAGCAAAGTTTCTTAAGTAGGCATCTTAACCCTTTGACTGTCGTGGCCGTATATATACGTCTTACGAGGTACCGTATTTGACATATATATACTCATAAATTCTAGCGGCTTCAAATCAAGCAGGAGAAAGCTGGTAGGCCCACATGTGAGAGAATGGGTCTGTGTGGTCAGTGTGCACCATATAAAAAAAAATCCTGGAGCACGCAGTGCATAATGAGGAAAAAAAAACTGACCGTTTTTTTTAATTAAAATGCCAACTTTGTGGTCTATTTTCGTATAGTATTTATGGTTGTATTCTCGTTTTCTTGGTCTCATTTGATAGAGTGGAAAACATATAGAAATGGAGGTGATTTTGATTGATTTTACTATAAAAAGAACCTGGAAATGGAGCTCAAAGTAGGGGAAATGTTTAATTTTTGCCAATGTTCAAAAGTAAACAAATGATGTCATTGTCTAATAAATGTCCAACTAGCCATTCTAATATGCAGTCATGAATGAGTTAATGTTATTTATACAATTATTACAGTATTGCAGTAGTCTGCATAATAGTAAGTCTTCCATTTTTTGTTTGAATAAAAATTCTAAATAGAAAGCAAGAGTAATATCAGAGGGGCCTGGAGACATGACTGATGAACAAAGAAAATGTTATTTTAGAGCCAGGAATGCCTGCATTGTTCATTCTGGACCTTATTTTGAAATAGTCATATTTTTTAATTTTCGTGAAATTGGCCAAATTGCAAATTTCTGACCACATTATTGGGTAGTTGAAATCGGTAAATGGGCAGTTTCTTGTACTCAATTGATAGAAAAAAATGGAGTTCTAAAGAAATAGCTATGAGTTTGGTCGACTGGAACAAGGGAATTAGCCGAAAATAGGGCTCAAAGTGGGCGAAATCGCCGATTTGTAAATATCGCCGAGGTCGCTAACTTCGCGAGAGCATAATTCCGTCAGTTTTCCATCAAATTTCGTTTTTTTTGATGTCATTACAATCGGGAAAAGATTCTCTATCATTTCACAAATATTTTTTTTTTTTTTTTTGAAACTTTGCGACACCAGGAGACACCTCAGGATTGGAGGTTGCGACAGTCAAGGGGTTAAGGAAGGATAAGACTACAGTAAAAACTTGTTGTGAAAACCAAACTTTGAGAAGCGAAAAGGATTGGGAGGAAACTTGATCCTAAACAGAATGACATGCAAAGAAAGCAATTAACAAAATATACAGTAGAGCCCAATGTTACAATGTTCTAGTTCACAATGTTCCTCATTTACAATATTCTGGCATTTAGAACCAATAAATTATTAAGACACACTGATCTGCAGTTACAAACATAGCAAATACTGTATTTTACTAATAAGTTGACTGATGCCCAAATCTCCGTCAGGGGATCGGGGATCAGTGATGGTGCGTAGATCTACACAAAATGGATTTCTCAAATTTGCCAAGTAGCAAATTTTGACCAAGACAAGAGAGAATGGGTCTGTGGTGGATGTGAGAAGTATATAAAAAAATCCTTCCCCAAACAGTACATGATGGGAACAGCTAGCCTGCACTCACATTTAAGTTAAAATAGACAGGTATTTTTTTTTTTAACTAGAATGGTTTTCTTATTTTATTAGTTATTTCTTGATGCTAATAGTAAAATAGAGAAGTTCAAAACTACAGACAACGTGAAATAGGCATCAAACTGGCGTAAAATCAAGTACGAGAAATTTTCCTGAAGGGCAGGGGCCCCTCAATTCCTCTCCAGTCTGTTGTATGGATGGTCTAAACCATGATGAAGCATTCTTGATTATGACTTAAGAAATCGTAATGAGACTATGACCGCGGGTTCAATCCCGGCCGGGGGTATGGTTCATTCTTGATTATGGTTTATTAACCAAGAAATAGGGATAAAACATTTGATTTTTTAGTGTGGATTCAAAATGGAGGGCAAGTTACATAGAAGCCTAGGAACATTATTAATGAACAAAGGGAAGGTTGCCTTAGTGGTTGGAATGCTACAATTTTTGTTTTCAAATTGTACATTTTTAAAAATAATGTTAAAATTGTTCAAATTACCAACTTCTGGGTTTGTAACTCTCACTGTCTGTCATGTAGATCTGTTATTGACATAGGGCGAGTCACGTAGATCTATGTCACGTGCAGTGCACACAGTATAAAAAAAATCCTGCCTCACATGGTGCATGATGGCAAAATCAAACCTCCTACCTGGAGGGTGTTTTGGGAAACAATGCCCCTGCAGCGTGGGCCATGACCAGGCCTCTTGGCAATGTTTTTGGTTTAAAACAGCAAATTTTGGGTGTTTTCTATGGTAGATTTTATGGTTATATTGACAGTTTCTTGCTGTCTTTTAACAGAGTGGAAATATTCTATTTTTGCCAATTTTCCTAAGGATGAGTACAGAGCCCCCTTACTTCCCTTGGTCTGTTTCATGGGTTTTTACTAGGTCTGATTCAATGATTGGGACACTATAAACCATGACCATTCATTCCTGAATATATTTTATCCACGAAATGGGATAAATATTCAAATTTTTGTGTAATGATGAATTCAAAGTTGAAGGCAAGTGTGATTAATAAAAAGAGTAAGTATTGATTTAGTGTGAGAAATGTCTGCAGTGGTTTTTTTTTTTTTTTTTTTTTTTTTTTGATAGCCAAATGGGTGGATTCTGGTGCTCAATCAATAGAATGAGTCTTATAGCAAAATAGATAAGAATTTGGTCAAACTGAGCAATGGAATTGGCTTAAAATAGGGCTCAAAGTGGGCAAAACCTCCTATGCATAAACTGCACCCACACCACCAACCTTGTGCCTGAATAATTCCATAAATAACAAAAGGCACAATACACAAATAACCCACACATAGATGAGCTTACGACAACATTTCAGTCCGACTTGAATCATTTACAAAGTCACACTAAGAGAAAGGAGAGAGTATATATAGGCCAGCAGAAAGAAAGAAAGAAAGAAAGAAAAAAAATGATGATGATGATGATGACAATGATGATGATGATGATGATTGATGATGATTGATGATGATGATTGATGATGATTATTATTATTATTATTATTATTATTACAAAAAAAGTTATTTTTTAAGATGGTAGGTTTACTCATTTTGTAATAAAGAGTTCGGGATACATAAATACACATTAAAATAAATGAATCTTTAATATTATATAAAACACACAATCTTTGGTCTAGAGGTATTTAAAATATATATACATGTTACAATAATAAATTATTAGCATCTTAAATTATTAATAAATTATTAAATTATTAGCATCGGTGGGAGACGGCCGACTTGTTGGGGAAAAAAAAAAAAAAAAAAAAAAAAAATCTATGCTAAAATAATAAATTATACGTAACATTTACAATAATAAATTAGTCAACTCTGTGTCTCACGACACCTTAATGACGCTCCGTGTCTCACACGACACTTATCCATGGTGTGTTGTCGACGCTCCCTCTCAACTGTGTCACTTGACACCCTTTCCTCCGTGTAATGACGCTCCTGCTCAACCGTGTCCACTAGACACCCTTTTCTGTGTCACACGACACTCCTACTCTCCGTGTCACACGACACCCTTTTCTCTGCGTCATACACAATATCTCTACTGTGTCACTCTTGACACCCTTGTCTCTGCGTCGCACACTATCACCTACAGCGTCTTTCTCAGGCCAGTCTCATATTCATGTACATACCACCATCTTCATGTACACACACCCTTTTCTTCCCGTTCCACTCATCAACTCCCTAAGTGTCACACTACGGTCCTAACCCAGTTCAGTGTAACACTCCAACCTTTTCTTCATGTAATGTCCCACTAAAACAGCATCAGGTGACTCCGGCCCACAGTTGACCAGCGTAGGCGGTGAGTCCGCAGACATCACCGGTAGTCCTGTAAATACTCTCCAAGGCTGGTAGAAGTACACCGTAAGATAGTCTGGCAAGTACTATCTACCGCCTTCAAGACCAATTGACACACCGCAAGTAGGTTCGGTTAATCCTGCTTGCAGAACACCATGCTGCAAGCTCACTGAATGCGGCCGTCAAGTAACTGAGGCCAACAGACTCGGTGAGCTGCGGTGAGCGCTTCTTCTAAAATCAGTAGAAGCCAGAAGAATACCAAATGATGGGCAGGAGAATACTCTCTACTGCCAGTAGATCTATACTGTAAGGTGTTCTGGTAATTACTGCTGCGGTGCATACCGTGAGGTGCTCAGGTACTTACTGCTCTAAGGCCAGTAGATGTGTACCGTGAGGTGTTTAGGTACGTACTGCTTCTAAGGCCGGCTCAGCAGTCCCCACAATGGGTTTGATGACGTACCCAGTGGTACTGCCGGTCGGCAGGTTAACCATTTAACCACTAGTTTGGTAGGGGGCCGCAACAATGGGTGGTGGGTGGTGGTGGTGGTAGTATGGTGGTGGTGGTATGGTGGTGGTGGTGGTATGGTGGTGGTGGTATGGTGGTGGTGGTGGTATGGTGGTGGTGGTGGTGGTGGTATGGTGGTGGTTGGTGGTGGTGGTGGGAGGTGGTGGTGGTATGGTGGTGGTGGTGGGTAGTGGTGGTATGTGGTGGTGGTGGTAGTGGTGGTGGTGTTGGTGGTGGTGGTGGTATGGTGGTGGTGGTGGTATGGTGGTGTGGTGGTATGGTGGTGGTGGTGGTATGGTGGTGGTGGTGGATGGTGGTGTGGTGGTATGGTGGTGTGTGGTGGTATGGGTGGTGGTGGTGGTATGGTGGGTGGGGGTGGTGGTATTTGGGGGTGGTGGTGGTGGTGGTGTGGTGATGGTGGTGGTGGGTATGGTGGTGGTGGGTATGGTGGTGGTGGTGGTGGGTGGTAGGTGGTGGTGGTTGGTGGTGTTGGTGGTGTGTGGTGGTGGTATGGTGGTTGGTGTGTTGGTGGTGGTGGTGGTATGGTGGTGGTGGATGGTGGTGGTGGTATGGTGGTGGTTGGTGGTGGTGGTGGTTGGTGGTGGTTGGGGTGTGTGTGTTGGTGGTGGTGGGTATGGTGGTGTGTATGGTGGTGGTGTGGTGGTGGTGGATGGTGGTGGTATGGTGGTGGTGGTGTGGGGTATGGTGGTGGTATGGTGGTTGGTGGTGGTGGTGGTATGGTGGTGGTGGTGAGGTGGTGGTGGTGGTGGTATGGTGGTGGTGGTATGGTGGTGGTATTGGTGGTATGGTGGTGGTATGGTGGTATGGTGGTGTTGGTGGTTGGTGGTGGTGGTGTATGGTGGTGGTGGTGGTATGGTGGTGGTGGTGGTATGGTGGTGGTGGTATGGTGGTGTGGTGGTGGTGGTAGTGGTGATGGTGGTGGTGGTGGTGGTGGTGGTGGTATGGTGGTGGTATGGTGGTCGTATGGTGGTGGTATAGTAGTAGTATAGTAGTAGTCTAGTAGTATAGTAGTAAAAAGCTCAGTGCTTCAAGGCATGGTCCTGGCACCTTTACTGTTTTTTATCCTCAATGTTGACAAAAACTCACTACAGTTTGCAGAGGATGCTAAAATAAGCATGAAAATCACGTCAGTAGAGGACAAAAAACTGCAAGACGTAAACAGTCCTCCAGTGAGTAGCGGAGAGTAACGTGACATTCATCAGTAACAAGTACCAACTATTTAACCCTTTGACTGTCGCGGCCGTATATATACGTTTTACGAGGTACCGTGTTTGACGTATATATACTCATAAATTCTAGCGGCTTCAAATCAAGCAGGAGAAAGCTGGTAGGCCCACATGTGAGAGAATGGGTCTGTGTGGTCAGTGTGCACCATATAAAAAAAATCCTGGAGCACGCAGTGCATAATGAGAAAAAAAAACTCCGACCGTTTTTTTTAATTAAAATGCCGACTTTGTGGTCTATTTTCGTATAGTATTTATGGTTGTATTCTCGTTTTCTTGGACTCATTTGATAGAATGGAAAACATCTTATAGAAATAGAGGTGATTTTGATTGATTTTACTATAAAAAAAACCTAGAAATGGAGTTCAAAGTAGGGGAAATGTTTGATTTTTGCTAATGTTCAAAAGTAAACAAATGATACCATTGTCCAATAAATGTCCAACTAGCCATTCTAATATGCAGTCATGAATGGGTTGATGTTATGTATACAATTATTACAGTATTGCAGTAGTCTGCATAATAGTAAGTCTTCTATTTTTTGTTTGAATAAAAATTCAAAACAGAAAGCAAGAGTAATATCAGAGTGGCCTGGAGACGTGACTGATGAACAAAGAAAATGTTATTTTAGAGCCAGGAATGTCTGCATTGTTCATTCTGGATCTTATTTTGAAATTGTCATATTTTTTAGTTTTCGTGAAATTGGCCAAATTGCAAATTTCTGACCACATTATTAGGTAGTTGAAATCGGTAAATGGGCAGTTTCTTGTACTCAATTGATAGAAAAAATGGAGTTCTAAAGAAATAGCTATGAGTTTGGGCAACTGGAACAACAGAATTAGCCGAAAATAGGGCTCAAAGTGGGTGAACTCGCCGATTTGTAAACAGCGCAGAGGTCGCTAACTTCGCGAGAGCATAATTCCGTCAGTTTTCCATCAAATTTCGTTTTTTTGGTGTCATTACAATAGGGAAAAGATTCTCTATCATTTCATATTTTTTTTTTTTTTTTTTTTTTAATTTTGCGACACCAGGAGACACCTCAGGATTCGGGTTGCGACAGTCAAGGGGTTAAATATGGAAAGAATGAAGGACTCAAGAAAGACACTGAATACAAAATGCAAGATCACCAAACAGAACAAAAGGAACACGAGAGATCTGGGTATATGAATCTCGGTTGACCTTTCTAAAAAATATTAAATTGATATATCGTGAAAGCCAGGAAGATGACGGGGTTGACGAGAACTTCCAAACCAAGGGAAATAGCATCAATGGTGACACTGAACAATGCTCTGGCTTAGAGCACTGTTCAGTGTTGCCAGCTCCTTTCAGGGCAGTAGCTATATTAGAACTGGAACAGGTAGAGATCATTTACAGCTTACATAGATCCAATAAAGCATTTAAATTACTGGGAACATTTCAAAGTCCTAAACATGTACTCACTAGAGCAAGTATACGTTTAGGAAGGTGCTTGAGGGTCTGGTCCCAAATCAACACACTGCCATAACATACTGGAGTGAGAGAAATGGAAGATGTGTAAAATAAACCCAATGAAAAACAGGGGCACTGAGCACAATAAGAGGAACATTTTTATCAACATCCATGGTCCTAGACTGTTTCCACACTACCACATATCTGGAATATTGTAGAAGTTTTCAAGAGGAAATTGGATATGTGGCTCCACTAAGTGCCAGATCAACCAGGCTGTGATGGATATGTAGACCAGCAGGCCAATGGCAGAAACAGCCTGGTTTTATCAGGCAAGCACCAGACAAGCCCAGCCAAGGGCTGGGCTGCAAGAGTAAGAAAACTCTAAAGCCTTCAAAGGTACATCAAAGGAATGGGTGAAGCTCTGAACAGTGGGCACTCATGCCACATATACACACAATTATCCTCATCACTACCTTCCCACAGCCTATGTTCAGGAGCACTAACCCTAAGTATAACTGAGGAAGTGGATAACAGTGAGAGAGTAGTGAGTATATGTAGTGTCTCACATTAGAGGGTAGACAGCAGCAACAGCCAACAAGTGCAAATAAAGCCCAGCTTTGCTACCAAGTGTATTTCCTAAAGCTGGACACAATACAAGAGACGATGGGAGCGAATAAGAGCAAGAAAGAGGGAGGCAGTCTAGCTGCTACTGACCCCTGCACATCTATTTTGTTAAACAGTACAGTATACATTATATCTGTGGAAGGCACCAATATTATTTCCCATGTGACAAATTTTTTAAAGAATTTTTTTATGATTTGAAAGAGCATATTTTTCTGAATACAACTAAAAAATGAAATCAGAAGAAAACTTAAGGTTTTATTGATATTGGAAAATAAAAATCACTCATCAGCACCAATGGTATATATATGCATAGCTAATTTTTTTTCCTATTTACTTACCCTAAATTATGATATAATACTGTAATTCTGTAACTGACTTTCAGTGTCTAACAATATGTATACTAATTTCTCATATTAGATGCTTTCCAAGGTGTTTTATTACCCAAAACAAGGAAAACACAAAGTACAAAAAAAAAAAAAAATCCATTAAGTACAACAAATCAGTAATAAATCTTACCTGGAATTGAAAAAGATGCTATTTTGCTTAAGTCATATTACTCTTCTACTTCTCCATCTGGCTTACAGGAGGTGAACAAACCAAGATTCCTGATACGGTCAAACTCAGCCTGAGCATCATAATTCCTGAAATACAATATACAATACTGTATATGATCTGTGAAGTTTAATATGTGCATGGAAAAGCGGCAAAAACAAATTTTAATATCAGCAACACATTTGCCCATAAAGCCATCCACTATATACAGCTGTAAATTTCTCTATATTAATGAAAGTTAAATTACTTTATCTTATTTTCCTTAACATAATATGATCTTAATTACATAATAGATCATGTTGAACTTTTTAATACTAAACCTTCCATTGTTGAACACAGAACACTTCATATTTTTACTTAATGGACAAACTAGCTCAGTCATTAAATCTGCAAAGCTACTGAAATTGTTTCCATTGAGGGAAACTGGGTTTCTAGATAAGGCTTACAGAGATGCACACCCCTTCAGTTGAATTAGTGAGATGGCATTAGATCAAACTATAATAATAATAAATTCCTTTCTTTTCTGCAATACGTACACAGGTAAGGTAGTTTACGTTTTTATTTGTAACACATTGGCCATCTCCCACCGAGGCAGGGCGACCCGAAAAAGAGGAAAAACTCATCATTATTCACTCCATCACCGTCTTGTCAGAGACATGCCTAAACTACAGTTAACCAATTGACTGTCGCAACCCCAAATCCTGAGGTGTCTCCTGGTGTTGCAGAAAAAAAAAAAAATCTTATGAAATGATAGAGAATTTTTTCCTGATTGTAATGACACCAAAAGAACAAAATTTGATGGAAAACTGACGGAATTACGCTCTCACGAAGTTAGCAACCGCTGTGATATTCACAAATCAACGATTTCGCCCACTTTGAGCCCTATTTTCGGCTAATTCCTTTGTTCCAGTCGACCAAACTCATAGCTATTTCTTTAGAACTCCATTTTTTCTATCGACTGAGTACAAGAAACTGCCCATTTACCGATTTCAACTACCCAATAATGTGGTCAGAAATTTGCAATTTGGCCAATTTCATGAAAATTAAAAAATATGACAATTTCAAAATAGGGTCCAGAATAAACAATGCAGACATTCCTGGCTCTAAAATAACATTTTCTTTGTTCATCAGTCATGTCTCCAGGCCCCTCTGATATTACTGTTGCTTTCTATTTTGAATTTTTATTCAAACAAAAAATAGAAGATTTACTGTTATGCAGACTACTGCAATATTGAAATAGTTGTATAAATTTCAACCCATTCATGACTGCATATTAGAATGGCTACTTGGACATTTATTGGAAAATGATATTTGTTTACTTTTGAACATCAGCAAAAATCGAACATTCCCCTACTTTGAGCTCCATTTCAAGGTTCTTTTCATAATAAAACCAATCAAAATCACCTCTATTTCTAGAATATGTTTTCCATTCTATCAAATGAGACTAAGAAAACAAGAATACAACCATAAATACTATATGAAAATAGACCATAATGTCGGCGTTTTAATTAAAAAAAAAAAAAGTCGGAGTTTTTTTTTCATTATACACTGCTTGCTGCAGGATTTTTTTTATATGGTGCACACTGACCACACAGATCCATTCTCTCACATGTGGGCCTACCAGCTTTCTCCTGCTTGATTTGAAGCCGCTAGAATTTATGAGCACAGTGGACCCCCAGTTCGCGATGCTATCGGTACCCGATAAATCCGGTAACGATGCATTATATCGCAGAAAATTTGCCTCGGTTCCCGTTACAAAACCCGGTATGCGATACGATTCGTACGAGACGTGTCCAGTGTTTACAAGCCAGCCAGTGTGCGCGCATATAAGGATACATTCGGTACATTCTATATTATCCATATTATCACTCTTTTTTGGTGCTTTTTTCTGTCAAATGAGTCACCATGGGCCCCAAGAAAGCTTCTAGTGCCAACCCATCGAGACCAAGGGTGCTAACGACTACTGAAATTAAGGAAATGTGTGCGAAGTGGGTTGAAGTGCAAACCTTTTTTGATGAAAATCACCCTGACAAGCTTACTGCAAGCCGTGTTGGCAACTGTACACTGACAATGTTGTGAACCTATTAGGAAAGTCATAAAGGAACGGAGTACAGGCCTCATGGACAGATATGTTGTGCGAAGGAAGTCCAGTGACTCTCAAGGTGCTCCTAGTGGCATTAAAAAAGAAGGGAGTAACCCTGGAAAAGGACTTGCTACCTCAAGTCCTAGTGGAGGGGGATTCCCCTTCTAAACATTAAAAACTTCGACACTCTCCCCTCCTCCCATCCCATCAATTCATCACCAGATCTTCATTAAAGGTAAGTGTCAATTATTCTATTGTGATTTTCATTGTTATTATTGTTATTGTAATTATTAGATTGCATTAAACTTAATATATCATGTGGTAAAAGTTTTTTTTTTTCATACTTTTGGGTGTCTTGCACGGATTAATTTGATTTCCATTATTTCTTATGGAGAAAATTGATTCGCTTTCCGATAATTTTGGTTTACGATGAGCTCTCAGGTAGGCATGCCTCTGGCAAGACAATAATGGAGTGACTGATGATGAAAAGTGTTTCTTCTTTTCCAGCCACCCTGCCTTGGTGGGAAATGGCAGATGTGTTAATAAAAAAAAAATTATTACTTTTTGCTTATGCACCACCAAAGGAACCTTTATCACTTTAGAAGAAATAAGGATTATTTAAATTACAGTTTAGAAGCCCTAGTGTACCAGGTACAGCAAATATGTAGGAAAAGTGATATACTGGTTATATAAATGCACTCACTTGTAAAACTCAGCATAGATACGTTTCCTGGGATCCTGAACCAAGAGTTTCCATGATGTGGCAGCTACAATACTGAGACCACAAGCAATTATAATGTTCCTCTTAATTTGGGAAGCCAAAAGGCCCCGCATAACAGGCTTGGCAATAGTCATGGTTGTTGCCTGAAAAAAATTAAATACCAGATAACTTAAAAATGAACAGCTAATTAAACAGCTGCAAAGAAAAACTTAAATCAACTGTAGAATTTATTAAGGAACAAAGACCCCTGGATGATTTCATAACCCCATGACAAATGTTTACTCCAGATCCTCTTACAAGAACTATTAGTATGTTTAAATTTCTTCTTTTCTTTCAACAAATCGGCTATGTCCCACTGAGGCAGGGTGGCCCAAAAAGAAAAGCAAAAGTTTCTTAAACTTTAGTAATGAATACAGGAGAAGGGCTTACTAGTCCCTCGCTCCTGGCATTTTAGTTGCCTCTTTCGACACGCATGGCTTACGGAGGTTATATTTTTCCAGGTTTACTGCTACCAATACCTAGACTTGGCTTGGCTTTGGTCTCCTCCAGGGTATTTTTATATGCATCATATCTGTATACATGGAGAGGGTTTTGGGGATCAACGCCCCTGCAGCCCAGTCTGTGACCAGACCTCTCGTTGGATCAAGTCTGCTACTGCTGGCCGCATGCAGATTGACGTACAAACCACAGCTGGCCAGGTGACTGTCCAGCTCCCTTTTATAAACAGCCAGGGGTCTATTGGTAACCCTCCTTATGTATGCTGGGAGCCAGATGAAGAGTCTTGGGCCTCTGACACTTACTGAGTGGCACCCCTGCTTCTTATTGAGGGGATGTTGCATTGTCTGCCGAGTCTTCTTATGGAATTTTTGTGTACAGATTTGGGGCTAGTCCCTCTAGGATTTTCCAAGTGTATATTATCACATATCTTCCTTGCCTGCATTCCAAGGAATACAAATCAAGGGACTTTCAACCATTCCCAGTAGTTTAGGCGCTTTATTGTACTTATACGTACCATGAAAGTTCACTCTATATTCTCAAGGTCTGCAATTTTGCCTGCCTTGAAAGGGGCTGTTAGTGTACAGCAGTAATCCAGCCTAGAGAGAACAAGCAATTTGAAGTCATCACAGGCTTGGTATCTCTAGCTTTGAAGGTTCTCATTAGCCATCCTATCATTTTCCTAGCAGATGAGTAGATACATTGTTGTGATCTTCGAAAGTGAGATTCTCTGACATCAGTCCTGGTCCATCACATTAGTTTTTCATACTACTGTGTGATGGAATTTGTTTTATACTCCTTTCCACTTTCTCAAGTTTTCCATAGTGGAGTAATTGAAATTTGTCTTCGTTGAACTTGTTGTTTTCTGTGGCCCATTTAAAGATTTGGTTGATGTCAGTTTGGGGATTTGCAGTGTATTCGATGGATGACAACTGTCATGCAAATTTAGGCATCAGCAAAGGAGGACAAGGTGCTGTAGCTTGCATCTCTGTCAGATATGAGGATGAGGAAAAGGATGGGAGTGCTGTACCTTGTGGAACACGGCTTTTCATTGTAGCTGCCCCTGACTTTACTTCGTTTACTATTACTCTGTGTTCTATTTGTTAGGAAGTTAAAGATCCATCAACCCACTTTTCCTGTTACATGTATTCCTTTATCACTCATTTTGTATGACACCATGATTGCACTTGTTGAAGGCTTTTGCAAAATCTGTGTACTGCAGGAAGTCTGAATAAATGAAGATATACCTTTACCTTTGATATACCTTCCAAGAGTTTTGAGAGTTTATCTACTCCCTGAGCCCAGCCATGGGCCAGGCTTGTCTGGTGCTTGCCTGGTCAACCAGGCTTTTGCTGCTGGAGGCCCACTACCCCACATATCCATCACAGCCTGGTTGGTCTGGCACCTGGTGAAGATACTTGTCTAGTTTACTCTTGAAGGCTTCTACACTTGTTCCAGCAGTGTTTCTGATATCTTCTAGTAAGATGTTGAAAAGTCTGGGACCCCAGATGTTGATACAGTGTTCCCTTATTGTCGCCACCGCACCCCTGCTCCTCACTGGGTTTATTTTACACTTCCTCCCATATCTCTCACTGTTGCCTAAGGACAATGTCACTTGTGACCCTAATCGTGCATAGTTTATTAACATCCTGTTCTACATAATTTATTATTTCTGGAATATCACTAGTATCTTCCTGTGTAAAAACTGAGAGGAAGTATGTGTTAAAAATTCTACACATTTCCTTTTCACTGTCCGTGAGCTGACCCGAGTAACTTTTGAGTGGGCCTATCTTGTCCCTGATCTTACTTCTGTATACCTGAAAGAATCCTCTTGGGTTAGTCTTCTATTCTCTTGCAACTTTAACCTCATAATCTCTTTTTGCTTTTCTTATTCCCTTTTTTATTTCTCTCTTTAACTAAATAGTACATTGATTTCTTAACTGCCCCTCTCCTCTTTTGATTTGCCTATATATGCCTCTCTTTTGACCAATGAGATGTTTTAATCTATTGTTCATCCATTTAGGATCATTTTTGCTTGATCTGATTTCCCTATTTGGAACATAAGTTCTCTGAGCAGCTAGAACTATGCCGTGTAAGAGTAGACTATACTGATTCACATAAGATTTTGGCCATATTAAGTTAGATGTATATTAAAGATATTATTTTAATGTGTAAATAAAAAAAAAAAAACATGAACCCTCACACACCGAGGGGTCCACGGTTCAGTCCCCAGCAAGGGTGGAAATATTGGGCATGATTCCTTACACCTGCTGTCCTTGTTTACCTAGCAGTAAGTAGGTACCCGGGTGCTTGCTTGCTTGGGTGGTGGGGGCAAGATTGATGAACCCCAATGGAAATAAGACAGACAGTCCTCAATGACACTGATTTCTTGGGTTATCCTGGGGTGGCTAACATTCTGGGTTAAAAATCCAAACAAATCTCATCTTAACCTCAGGAAACCCTCCAGAACCAACCTGAAGTACTTAATATAACTTAACCTTACTCTGCCATTGTCATTCACCTATTTGTGACTGCAGGGGTTGAGTCATTACTCCTGGCCCTGCCTCTCTGCTGTCCAGCATTGGGTGCATGCTCACCTGCCTCTGTGAACCCTATCATACCTATTCTTAAAACTATGTATGGATCCTGCCTGTAAATCTTCACTACCTATATGCATCCTTGTTCACACAGGGCCAGGCCCAGCACACCACTCAATACTCAGACTGTAATAAAGTTGGTAGAATTACCGACAATATGTAAAGTAAAAGGACACAAATGCAACTAATGTGACATTTTTATTGTGGCAACATTTCGCCCTCCAGGAGCTTTGACAAAGCTCCTGGAGAGCGAAACGTTGCCACAATAAAAATGTCACATTAGTTGCACTTGTGTCATTTTACAATACTCAGACTAAGTAAGTATTACCTAGGATTACTCAAAAAAATAAAGTCAGACAAAGGGACTTGTGTCCACTGTAATCATAATTCAGTTTTAAGGCTGCCAAAAATGTTTTGTATAAATAACGGGCTTTCTAAAAAGTGGTTATATATGTCAGTCACCTTAACTGCATAATACAGTGTACTCCACTTTAAAGGAACATTATTATAATCAAAAAGCGCTAAACCCACAAGGGTTATACAGATTATAAAATGTAAGGTAATACCAGAGTTCCGTATAGCAGGCGATAACTAAGACACCATTACATTCACGGGGAAGAGCTAAACCCGTTGGGAAGTAAAGAATCACCTGGGGGGATAGGAAACAATCAGTTTTTTACCCAAGGGTAGCTCAAATTCCCTGGATCACGAGCCCTTCATAGGTACTAGGGTGTGGGTTAAGAAATCTAGGTGGGAGGGAAGAGTGAGGTAGATGGTGGACGGCAGCAGTGACCGGCGAGGCTGCTGCTACTGCCATATATATTCTACATAAGCAACACCACAAGCACAGTGTGAGGGTTACCTTGGCAGCAGTGAGGGCAGCGGTGAGGGCAGCCGTCAGGGTAGATGGAGCACAACCTCCAGCAAGATGGAGAGAGAGATGATAATGGTGTAGTGAAGATGGCGCAGTGTTGGAGAGTACGTGAGGGAGCACCACTGCTGGAGCAACTCTGCACTACCTGCGTCACCAACACCGCCGTATTTAAAAAAATTTAATATCACTAGGGTTTAATATAACTCTGACTTCAGTATAACACTGCATGCATATGCCATTTTGAAAAGACACTTGAGGCTTAACGTTTAAATAATAAGATATTACAAGGCCCTCAATGGAAATAAGTCAATTTGACCTTATTTTGGGTTATCCTAGTTAATTTACACTATGTATGATAATTAGTAAATAAATAAGTTTATTTAGTCAGTGACATTTCCATTAGGGTACTTACGTATACCTGTGTTTAAATAAAATTAATTACACTCGGACATAATGGTGACCAAGGCCTCAGGACTGAAATGTTTTCTAATATGTCCAAGTGTTTACTCAATTATTTTTTAAAGCACTTGTTAGTAGTATTTACCATTATTTATACCTACTTGTATAACACGGCATACATAGGTCCCTAAAAATAGGAGAGTAAATAGACATTTAAAGAAATAAATCACAGGTAAACCTGATGTCATTAGACAACTGAGACACCAGAGGAGACAATACATACCTGGAGTTTACCTGGAGAGAGTTCCGGGGGTCAACGCCCCCGCGGCCCGGTCTGACACCAGGCCTCCTGGTGGATCAGAGCCTGATCAATCAGGCTGTTGCTGCTGGCTGCACGCAAACCAACGTACGAGCCACAGCCCGGCTGATCCGGAACTGACTTTAGGTGCTTGTCCAGTGCCAGCTTGAAGACTGCCAGGGGTCTGTTGGTAATCCCCCTTATGTGTGCTGGGAGGCAGTTGAACAGTCTCGGGCCCCTGACACGTATTGTATGGTCTCTTAACGTGCTAATACACCCCGCTTTCATTGGGGGATGGTGCATCGTCTGCCAAGTCTTTTGCTTTCGTAGTGAGTGATTTTCGTGTGCAAGTTCGGTACTAGTCCCTCTAGGATTTCCAGGTGTATATAATCATGTATCTTTCCCTCCTGCGTTCCAGGGAATACAGGTTTAGGAACCTCAAGCGCTCCCAATAATTGAGGTGTTTTATCTCCGTTATGCGCGCCCGTGAAAGTTCTCTGTACATTTTCTAGGTCGGCAATTTCACCTGCCTTGAAAGGTGCTGTTAGTGTGCAGCAATATTCCAGCCTAGATAGAACAAGTGACCTGAAGAGTGTCATCATGGGCTTGGCCTCCCTAGTTTTGAAGGTTCTCATTAATCCATCCTGTCATTTTTCTAGCAGATGCGATTGATACAATGTTATGGTCCTTGAAGGTGAGATCCTCCGACATGATCACTCCCAGGTCTTTGACGTTGGTGTTTCGCTCTATTTTGTGGCCAGAATTTGTTTTGTACTCTGATGAAGATTTAATTTCCTCATGTTTACCATATCTGAGTAATTGAAATTTCTCATCGTTGAACTTCATATTGTTTTTCTGCAGCCCACTGAAAGATTTGGTTGATGTCTGCCTGGAGCTTTGCAGTGTCCTGCAATGGAAGACACTGTCATGCAGATTCGGGTGTCATCTGCAAAGGAAGACACGGTGCTGTGGCTGACATCCTTGTCTATGTCGGATATAAGATGAGGAACAAGATGGAGCGAGTACTGTGCCTTGTGGAACAGAGCTTTTCACCGTAGCTGCCTCGGACTTTACTCTGTTGACGACTAATCTCTGTGTTCTGTTAGTGAGGAAATTATAGATCCATCGACCGACTTTTTCCTGTTATTCCTTTAGCACGCATTTTGTGCGCCTATTACGCCATGGTCACACTTGTCGAAGGCTTTTGCAAAGTCTGTATATATTACATCTGCATTCTTTTTGTCTTCTAGTGCATTTAGGACCTTGTCGTAGTGGTCCAATATTGAGACAGACAGGAGCGACCTGTTCTAAACCCTGTTGCCCTGGGTTGTGTAACTGATGGGTTCTAGATGCGTGGTGATCTTGCTTCTTAGGACCCTTTCAAAGATTTTTATGATATGGGATGTTAGTGCTATTGGTCTGTAGTTCTTTGCTGTTGCTTTACTGCCCCCTTTTTGTGGATGGGGCTATGTCTGTTGTTTTTAGTAACTGTGGGACGACCCCCGTGTCCATGCTCCCTCTCCATAGGATGGAAAGGCCCCGTGATAGGGCTTCTTGCAGTTCTTGATGAACACAGAGTTCCATGAGTCTGGCCCTGGGGCAGAGTGCATGGGCATGTCATTTATCGCCTGTTCGAAGTCATTTGGCGTCAGGATAACATCGGATAGGCTTGTGTTAATCAAATTTTTTGGCTCTCTCATAAAAAATTCATTTTGATCTTCGACTCTCAGTCTGGTTAGCGGCTTGCTAAAAACTGAGTCATATTGGGACTTGAGTAGCTCACCTCTTTCCTTGCTGTCATCTGTGTAGGACCCATCTTGTTTAAGTAGGGGGCCCAATACTGGATGTTGTTTCTCGATTTTGATTTGGCATAGGAGAAAAATACTTTGGGTTTCTTTCGATTTCATTATGGGTTTTAGTTCTTCCCCGCGAATCCTGACTCCTAAAGGATTCTTTTAGCTTAAGTTCGATGCTTGCTATTTCTCTGACCAGTGTCTCCCTACGCATTTCAGATATATTGACCTCTTTTAGCCGCTCTGTTATTCTTTTCCGTCGCCTGTAAAGGGAGCGCCTGTCTCTTTCTGTTTTACATCTACTCCTCCTTTTTCTTAGAGGAATAAGCCTTGTGCATACATCGAGTGCCACCGAGTTAATCTGTTCTAGGCATAAGTTGGGGTCTGTGTTGCTTAGTATATCTTCCCAGCTTATATCGGTTAGGACTTGGTTTACTTGGTCCCACTTTATGTTTTTGTTATTGAAGTTGAATTTGGTGAATGCTCCTCGTGACTAATCTCATTATGGCGGTCTGGGGGCTCCGCGCATACATGACTGAACCTCAATTATGTTGTGATCTGAGTATATTGTTTTTGATATGGTGATATTTCTTATCAGATCATCATTGTTAGTGAAGATGAGGTCTAGTGTATTCTCCAGTCTAGTAGGCTCTATTATTTGCTGGTTTAAATTGAATTTTGTGCAGAGATTTAAAAGCTCGCGTGAGTGTGAGTTTTCATCAGAGCTGCCTCCTGGTGTTATTACTGCAACAATATTATTTGCTATATTCCTCCATTTTAGGTGCCTTAAGTTGAAATCCCCCAGGAGCAAGATGTTGGGTGCAGGAGCTGGAAGGTTTTCCAGACAGTGGTCAATTTTTAACAGCTGTTCCTGGAATTGCTGGGATGTTGCATCCGGAGGCTTGTAGACTATCACAATGACTAGGTTTTGGTTCTCGACCTTTACTGCTAAAACTTCCACTACATCATTTGAGGCATTTAGCAGTTCTGTGCAAACAAGTGACTCTGCAATGTACATAAAAAAATTACCAAAAGAATTGATACAGCAGACTGAGACAAAATTTTAACTTACACTTGTGCACACTAGAGCACATTTGGAAGCTAAAACACAAAGATAAGTCGTAGAAATCTCAGGAAGCAATTTTTTTCAGCCTCGGAATGGACAAGTAGTGGGATGATATCACATCAAAGAAGTCGCATCCAGGGACAAAATTAACCCAGTTTGCCTGAAATGCTCAGCATAACAAGGGACTTTATATATAGGCACCTAGATTACTCGGAACGGTTGAAGTCCCTTGATTTGTACTCCCTGGAACGCAGGCGAGAAAGATACACGATAATATACACTTGGAAACTCCTTGAGGGACTAGTACCAAATTTACACACGAAAATCACTCCCTACGAAAGCAAAAAGACTGGGCAGGAGATGCAACATCCCCCCCCATGAAAAGAGGGGGCGCCACGAATACACTAGGAGACAACACAATAAATGTCAGGGACCCAAGACTGTTCAACTGCTTCCCAGCATACATAAGAGGGATTACAAACAGACCCCTGGTTGTCTTCAAGAAGACTTTGGACAGGCACCTAAAGTCAGTACTTGACCAGCCGGGCTGTGGTTTGTATGTCGGTTTGTGCGGCCTACGGTAACAACCTGGTTGATCAGGCTCTGATCCACCATGAGGCCTGGTCACAGACCGGGCCACGGGGGCGTTGATCCCCGAAGCCCTCTCCAGGTAAGGTATACAGGCCTATCTTTTCAAAGTTTATTCTCTATAAGGATTACAATGCTGAGTTTACAGAAATTTGGTTATTGTTTGGTTTAACATGTAGTAAAATTGAGATTACAGAGTGTACCACTAGAACGCTTAGCATGGCTAGGCATTTCGGGCATACTTAGTTTTTATTCTTAAATGTAAAATATTACAAATTATGAGGTAAGTTGGTATTATGGCTAAGTGACTAAATACTATTTTGTGAGTTTAGCAATGTGAATGCTTTTGTTTTGGCACAGTATATAGTTTCAGTATTGGAGTATCACAGGATTCATTATATTAAGACTGAGATTAATATTTCTGTTTATGGTCAAATGAGTGAGCGAGTGTAAGTGTGAACCACCAGGTGGTATTCGTGAAGTTAGTTGACGGGGTGTATCAGGGAGATAAGATGTTTTGTAATGGTAGTTTTGAAGGTGATGAATGTGTCTGCAGTTCTAGAGTTCTCAGGTAGGGTATTCCAGATTTTAGGGCCTTTGACATACATTGAATTTTTGTAAAGGTTTAGTCGGACACGGGGAATGTCGTAGAGATGTTTGTTTCTGGTGTTATGCCTGTGGGTTCTGTCACAACTATCAAGAAAGCGTTTAAGGTCAAGGTTGATATTAGAGTTTAAGGCCCTGTAGATATAGATTGCACAGTAGTAAGAGTGGATGTACTGAACTGGGAGTAAGTTTAGATCTTTGAAGAGTGGGGGGGTGTGCTGCCAGGGATGGGATTTAGTGATTATTCTTACTGCAGCTTTTTGTTGGGTTATTATTGGCTTTAGGTGTGTTGCTGCAGTTGATCCCCAAGCACAAATAGCATAGGTGAGGTACGGATAAATAAGTGAGTGGTATAGTGTGAGAAGGGCATTTTGCGGCACGTAGTATCG